TGTTGTAATTGATGTAGTAGTCGATGTAGTTGTAGTTGATGTAGTTGATGTAGTAGTCGATGTAGTTGTAGTTGATGTAGTTGTGGTTGTTATAGTTGTAGTTGACGTAGTTGTGGTCGTTGTAGTTGTAGATGTAGTTATAGTTGTGGTCGTAGTTGTTGTGCTTGTGGTTCTTGTAGTTGTTGTCGATTCTATATGAAATAAAAAGATTTTCTTCAAACTTGATTACTTCTCTATCGATTGACAATATATCTGACAGACTATATTCATCTCATTTATCAAAACCTATGTAACATGTCGATAATAATATTTTATATTGTGCGATTCACTCAAATAGTTACGATTAATAATTATTCTCATTCATTCAAAAGTGAACATGTCATGAGAGTTAGAAAAATAACGTTGCAAAAAGATTCATGCAGACCCTTATGATAATCTCAACTCTCAACTTTATGCAAAAATCAATGCTATCATACATTTATATTTACACTCTTATACCCTTAGCCTCAATAATAGCAATCATAGAAAACATCAAATTTTAATTTTACTGACCAATTGCACAATTTAAACCACTCCAAGGGCCTACGCAGGTGCAATTATTAGGACCTGTGCATAGGCCACCATTTTGGCAAGGATCTGTGCATGCGACTAAAAGAAACAACAGAGAGTATTCGGATCAAGTAAATTCTAAATCTATATTACTAGTTGTGCAATTGTCACCAGCCCATCCTGAAGCGCATGCGCAAGTTGTTGGACCTATGCATTGTGCACCATTAAAACAAATAGATGAACATGGTACTGAAAAAGAAAAAGAGTATATTTGTTCAAAAATAAACAATAGAATACACAAAAGCCATTTTTCGCAGCTCCATAATTTTCAGACATCGCAGGGTCACTCTTGGTTAAAAGAAACAATCTACTTACTAACATCAATACCACTGGAACTACTACTATTTAGATTACTGCCATCAGCCAAAGATTGAACATGACACAGTTCAAGAGGTATGTTGCTTCCATCGTCCGCTGCGAGATTGACATTCGCCGCACTGCTGAATTTTGCATGAACATCAGTAAAAAACTCAATTTGACAGGGCAGCGTTTGACATGACAAATTTTGTGGATAATCCAATCCGACATTGAAGACAATAACAACCCCTGAATGATCTGTCTTGTCGCATTGAATGCTATAAGTAAAGTAAGTAGGTAAACATGAATAGCTAAAATTAATTCAAAAAGAAAATTACTCGCGGCGGCTACGACGCCGGCGCCCGGCACCAAAACCTCCTGTAAGGCCGATACCGTACACGCCGATGCAACCGGCAGGGGCACCGAGTGCTTGTTGCAACTAAAATATATTACACAATATCAATGAATGTAAAAGATAAAAATTACGCAAGAGGCGGTTGTCTGTCGGTTAGTAACGGATTGTGTGGCGCGCTTTCTCGCTAATCCAGGTGGTAACAGGTAAGAGACGTCTAAGGCAATAAGTGAGTTTTCTAGAAAAGACTACGTATGTGTATGACAAGAATAATGCATAAACACTTACTAGTGGCTATTAATGTTTCGACGTTGGTAATGGTGCTAACATTCTTGGTGTGGATGATGCTTAAATCCTTTGGTGATAAATAGAGTGGAATAAGTGACAGAACAATTGTGCCTGCGACAACAAATAATGCCATTACGAAAAGACAAAATATACAAAACCTATGTGGTTATTAAAAGATTACAAAGTTCATCGGAAATATTTTAAACTCACATTCGAGAAAATGTTAAGTTTAATTGGCCCATAGCTTTAAGCCAATTGAAAGGGTGTTGTCTTGAAACGAAGAAATATCTGAAATGAATTTCTTTATGAAAATCGAATAATGAAGTGAAATTACTTTGAAATTTACAAGTTTCTGATTATAAACGATATCCTAACTCACAACTGTCATCTTGAGGGTGGATGAATGTATGAGTATATGTGTCACTATTATCATCATCTCACACCCTCAAGATACCCAATCAGACTGAATGTCAGTTGGAGGTAAGTCTCATGATTTTGAGAAATCCCAATAATTAGTTTCAAAATTGCAGAGGTTCTCAATAGATGAATGATGTTTAATATAAAGGGTATCGTGCGAATAATAGAAACTAAATAGAAATGGTATAGTAATGATCATGGTGAAATAGTACCCAAACAGGATCAAAACTGAAGAAGAATAGTCAAATATACTTGTTGTGAATTTAAACGAAAGTAAATAATTAGGTAAATATTTAATGAGCATACGTTCTTATATGTTCTTGTCTTTACGGTTGACCGATTCATAAAATATTCTTTTCTGTCAATAAAACAGCAAGCAGGCTATCAGTCACAAGGAATGATATATATCTTTATTTTTTTCTTAAGTAAGTGACACTTATTATGTATAATTAATGTCGTTAGAGAAAAACAAATCTTATTTATTAATGAGGTGTATTTCATTAATGAGATATACAAAGTTACCAGTCATGATTTTTTAATATTTAATGATTTCATTTTTTCTTTTTATATATTCATTTATATTTCTAATATGAATAATCTGTAGTATTCATAGGAATTATCAAAAAAAAATTTATATTATAAAAATAATATATAGAATTTTAATATAAATTATCTCTTGTAATATTTGTTTATTTATAATTTAATAAGTATTTATATAAAATATATATGAATAACATTTGATGATATGATTTTCTTTTAATACATTGAATAAACGTTGTAAAAAAAAATCAAAAAATTTTATTGATTTCAAAATAGTTCGATTAAATAATCATTTAAAATATAAATGAATAATAAGAGATTCTTTCAAATAATCAAACATGTTGAGTCTTAAATTTCTTTTATAACATGCAATGATTAATCAAAAGAAATATAATATTTCATTTTGAAAGCGATGAATCTTTATATTTTTTGACATTATTTAAAAGAATTTTATTAATAATAAACAAAACAAAAATTTCAATTAAATCAACAAATTTATTTATCTTAACAGAATAGATTTCAATATGATTGAAAGGAAAATGAAATATTTAAAAGTACAAGAAAAAGTTCTTAATTATTCAATCTGAATTTTTTTATTATAATAATTCATGTGTTATAAAGGAAATCACCATTTATTATCGAAAAAATTTCTTTCATAAATTAATATAGAAAATGTAAATTATTATATTTCATAAAAGTAAATCTTTTATAATTTTCCAAAATCTTCTTTTTTAGTTTGTTTCTTAATTTTGATATTTAATAATAATACAAATTGTTATTACGAGAAAAATATTGCTAATAAATAACAATCTTTATTGATTTAATCAGTGAAAATTCTGCAGTTTGATCATTTCAATTAAACTTTATTTTTTAATATTTATTATTTATTTTCGAAAATAAACAGAATTTTATTTCATTAATAAATAAATATATAATCCAATATCATCAATATTCTAAAATTCTATAAGAACATCAACAGAATCGGCATACTATTATGTGATATAATAAATGAAAAGTCATGTTTTACTGAAGTTATTCTGTCATATACAAGCGAATCATTCTAAAACATTGCTCTTTAAACTTCGGGTGCAGATATGAGTATAGTGCTTCGCTGATCTCCATACCCACATCCACTCACACTTACTTACACCCATACCCACCCATCCTCGTAATTCCCTTGCGGATGAGTGTCGGTTTAGGCGTATAGATGGTAGAAGACCCATCATCACATTTGTATCCACATATAGCCACGCACAACCATACACATCGACTTCCGTACCCTCACGCACATTCACCCTCAAAATTCTCTTTCAGATAGCCGATTTTGTTTTTCAGAGCAGTTTTACAGTCACATAAACTATGCATTCTTTTTGGAGAAAAACTCAACGACGAAGAAAATGATTACTTGTATTCGAGTGTTGAGTGAAGCTCTGTGGACATTATTTATTTGCCTACACTATAACAATCTCTTACAACAAAATTTCTGTTGTTCGTCGTTGAAAGAGAACAGTAAAAATCTGTTTTATCTTATCTTGCGCATATAACTACAAAACAGAACGAAAGCTTTCACAAGATTGAAAAAAAACTGCTATTGACGTAATTTGAAGCTATCAGTTCATGTGATGTAAGTATTGTGTTTAATTGATGAGAAAGAAGAGTTTCATGTTTTCTAAAGTTTATAATCTAAGTCGATAGAAAGAAGCAGCACTCGAGCAGTTTTATCGACCGATGAATGCGCTGCATCTTTTGATAAGTCTAATAAGTAAGAGAAACTCATAGAAAATCAAAGCTATTTTTTCTTCATGAACAACCTGTCGCAGGCCGCCTATTTTCATAGTTAAAACACAGTTTCTTTCAAAACTTGATTTTTAGAATATATTCAAAGTGATGGAATGTGCTTTCATAGTTTGAAATGCAGCTCTATACTTTCCTTCAAAGCTGAACAGTACTCTTGAGTCTGGCGGTTTAGCTTATTAAGTGATATTGATTTGGTTAAAGACTTGTCAAGAGCATCATTTTGAAAATAAGCAGCATGGGCAGATGTTTTATAATCGAAAAAACTTTAGCGTCTTGTGATTTATTGAGTATATAGTTGGTGGATATAAATCAAAAGGGGCCAAAAAATTGATAAAAGATAGAAGGCCAGTCCAAAACTGCTACAGTGGAATAGATTTTTCAGCATCCATATCTTTTCAACCTTGTAGCTTTCATTCTCTGAGTCAATTGTTCTTATTTTTGGCTAGTTTCATCCCGTGATATACTTAAAAAATTAGTTCTATTACAGAATCTTAATGATTTCGTTTTTCTATGTCGAACGACTTCAAGCTCATTCGAATGAAAAGCGTTTTATACTTCTCTATAGAACGTGTCAGAATTCAGCGAACATCATAGAATTTCGCAGTTTTTTTTCACTATCATACGACCAAACGAAAGAGTAACCTTTATAAGCTCAACACGGATTTCTATAACAACAAATTTTCTTCTAAATTTTTATTGATAGATAGAAACGTTCTTAGCCAATAAAAATGCAAGAAAAAATGTTCTTCACTGTAGTAAAGAAACGTTTTTTTTAATCGGATCAGTTGATGGGTTATTGAGAGTGTTCCTTAATTTGATTCAAATAATTATGTAATTTGTTTCGCTCGTATACACGTAGAAAAGTCAGTGAATATCTAAAAAGACAATGAATGATACAGTCTATGTAACATTAAAATCCAATCAAATAAGGTCTACGAGGGTGTGGAGGTTATTCTTTTTTTAATGAGCAGTGTCTGATCTTGACACTTAAGCATATTTTCAAAATATACGCTATAAAACAGTTCTTATATTTACATCCATATTCAGAACCGCTAGGAAACTATACTGTCATTTAAAAACTTTATTAACTCTCTCTAATATTAAAGATTTTACGACTAGAAATCTGTCAAATGATTAGCATCAACCTATACCTTATTATCGAAAGTTGACAGTAGTATTTTTGAATGACAGTTTGCCATTCTTATTTAACAACTATCAATCCTGATATCTTTAGATAGTAATCGGTGCAAAAGCCTCTCAAGACAAAAAAATGATACAGAACGCGAAAGTGATAGAGAATTCTCGTATTAATAAGAACAGCGATTTTTATAATGCCTGTCGCGGTGGTGACGCACAGACTGTTCTACAACATCTCACGAATAATCCTGTTCCTAATCCAAATGAAATTCTACCTAACGGAAGCACTGCTCTTCACGCAGCTGCCTATTACGGACATGTTTCTGTTGTTCGTCTTATTGTTCAACATTGTTCTTTCAGCTATCTTGAAAGAAATCGTTACGGATTCACAGCTTATGAAGAGACTTATAGCAATGAAATTCGTCAAATGTTACAATCAGCACAAGATGCAACGACCAATCAATATTGGTGGCCGACACTGTTTCGAATGGCCAATAATCCTCAGCACAAAACAGAAACTACTCTTAGTCGTTTACTGAATCAAATAACAGCAAGTCGTTTTCTGGTTGCCCATGCTGATCAAATTGCTGATCTTTCTCGTCGAGCGTCAATTATTATCGATGCGAAACATGTAAAATTCGATGAAATTATGCTATTTCTAACCGAGTTTTCGACTATTAACGGACGATTGCCAATTATCTATGTTCTTATAGACAACTTATCTAATGACTTCATTGCTTCGTTAACTGTACTTCCTCACGTGCAAGGCATTTTTGACAATGAAGAAAGTCTTATTGTACGATGGGCATTGAATATGGCGTTAGAACATCGAAAAACTGGACATGAACTTCTTACATCTGATGATAAGCAAAATGCGGAATTTTTTTTGAACGAAAGTGTTGCTCTTTATAAACGACTAGCGACTATCGTTCATCCGAAAAAAAGACTTACATGAGATATATTACATGTTTTTTTGGGTTTTATTTTTGATAATACTTGTGACAAAATATAAACCATTAATAAGCTGACATTTACTTTTGTAGATTTTTGTTATGTATGGCCGTTTGTCAATCATTTATTGTTTTCCTCGACACAGATGATCAGCATCAACAGCTTGATTCACAGTTTAAACCTTCATTTTACAAGCGCTTTACAAAACAACATGAATGCATGCCGTTTGTTATTGCAAAAGCAAACACTGTCAAACGTGTTGATTTATTTTTGCCTGAGTTTCTCGATCACATCATTAATACAATGAGGGAATTGGTGGATAATGTGCGTTTTCAATTATACTGCCCAGATAAATACACCACTATTGAAAGAGCTCGTCAATATAACTGTCGTCCGTTCGTTCAAGTATTCAATATCGGTTGTCTCCGTGCGTGTCTTTATCACGCGACTATCGAGCATTATATGGACCAAGCGCATATTGACTTAAACAACGAAGAAGACCATAGGTCGGCAGCGGCCCATTATTGTGGTATCCTTAGCAATGATTTACAAGAACAAAACAATTTGACTTTTGGAGTACAGCCTAGGTGATAGCATTAGGTTATGTCACTGGTTTATATATCTATCTTTATTCCGACTAAATTCTCTTTTATCAGCCAAGATTCGTTTCCCCACGTTTTATCTAAAAGACTCTAGTTTGAAAAAGCAAACACTACCGTTCTAACAAAACCTATGTAACCTGAATATTGGCCGATGAAATGAGAACAGTCACTTTGCACAACATCCTTGTCTTCTTAAATAATCTGCCTGATTTTTTTCATTTCATGTCTGACTTCCTTAGCTTGTGATTTTTTCTCGATTCTTTTTCTTTTGAATTTCATCTTAAGGGGTGAGGATGAGTGCAATAAATACAACAACAACGATCCATATTTTGATCTTATTAAAGATCTTTATCAGGTGACATATAATAAGTCTTTATAATAGAAAATCAATTTAAATTAAATTTAAGAAATATAAAATCTCCCTAATTTTAACTCAAATCATTTTCAAAAGCAGCAGATAGTCTATTAATTATACTAGGGTGAGTACAACAAATATAACTATCACGAAAATCATATGGTTGTACATATGAAGATTAATGTTGTTGGAATTTTTGTTTCCCAATTGAATAAAAAAAGTGGAACGTGGATATAGTACAGACGGAATTCAAAATAACGAATAATATGAGAATCTTTTCTTCAGAAATTATGAAATTAAATCAATAGCTTTTGAATTTTGTCACAGTATATAATTGAATGATTGTCAATTATTTTGCTGGTGTCATGTATGTATCTGCAGAGAGGAGTTGAGATGGAGTGATAGAATTGCTAGTAATGTATTGTAACTGAAACTACGAATGAAAATTATGAGAGAAGACAAGCCTTAGCATATAGTATATATATTGAGACGGAAAATTGTATTTTAAATATGTTTATGTACATTAGAATATGTTATTGCGAAGTAAGTTGAAAGACTGAGGATGTGTGTCCGTTCCTTATTTATTCTACATCCATCTCACACTCTCAAAATTTTGAGTGCTAACTGACTATATTCACCTTGAAATCAAAAAATATATTTTTTATCAGACACAGTGTAGTATTTTTGATAGTAGAAGTGAGCGATGAAATTTTTATTATTTTAATTAGGTATGATTACATTGCTGGTTTTTAACAAAGTTGTTTTCAATAAGATATATGACTCAGTTTGATCGCTAGTGTATTATTGTTAATTTCAAGAAATTTTTGCGTGTTCTGTGCTTTTACGTCAATCATTTATATAAATCAAAGGAAAGAGAAATCTAAATACATTATTTATGTCATATATCATTATCAAACGAGAGCATAACTCTTAATATGCCTCTAAAAAAATATGAAAAATGAGTATTTTCGATCATATTTTTCAATCTTTTTCTTCATTATTTTATTTGGCTGTAATATATTTCTTCTTTTATATTTACTTTATATGTAATTCAAATTCTGTATGAAAACGACGTGATTATGCGTAATTTACTTATTTCTAACTGTATACAAGTGGGAGGTTGGTCATGAATGTAAGCAAACGACTCAGTTGGTGGTAATGATCGATTAAAGTACATTTGTATTTTTTTTGTGTAATTATATCTGAATCATATTTTTAGTGCTGTATATAAAAGATATATTTATGTGAAATTTTATTTTGTTGTCAATCGTTTTATTAGCATGATTTAAGTATATAAGTTTATATGAAATAGTAGTGCTATGATAAGATGACGAATTTCTTAGCAGTGACATACATTTATTTGATTCTATTGATGTTTAATATATAAGAATCTTTGTTTTAGAAAATTCTCAGAATGTTAGTATTAATCTATCTTCTCATACTCATACAGCCATATTTGAATATCGGATCAATCACTATCCAAGATCCTGGTGATATAATTGATACTTCAAAGGATACAACAGATAATGCTATTAAAGCTAATTATAATGTCATGCCTGTGATGTATTTGTTATCACCACTTCAAGCTACAAATTTCTTCAATGGAACTCAATCTTCCTCCTGGATTAGCCATCAAACATTCTCAGCAACTGCTAATGATACTAATGTTATTGTTGTTGGTAATGGAGCTCAATTAAATCTTTCTTTCGTCAACATTGTTAAAACTGGATATTCATCCAATCTTCTTCAAGCTAGCTTCTTTGGCGTGAATGCAGCAATCAATATTCAAAATGGATCTCGTGTCTTTTTCGATCATTTAAATGTAACTACGCATAATGGAGCAGCTAATCTATACTCGTATGGAAATGGATCCTATGCCTATGTTGAGAATTCATTCTTATATAGTTCAGGACCTGCAGCTCATGGACTTTATGCTGGTGGATACGGAACAGTTGTAGGAAAAAACATTGCTCATTACTCAGGTGGCAATCGTTGTTCATCATTTGCAGGTGATTCACCTGCAGGTTATGTTACTATTTCAGATGCAATTGCCCATACAAATGGTATTGGTAGTGCAACTTTCTATGCACTTGGAACGATAACTGCTACGAATGTCATCGGTTATGCTGCAAATGCACCTGCACTTTTCTCTGATGGTCGACAAACATCAGTATTCACTAATTGTGATCTTACAGCTGGACTTCTTGCTGGTACTGTCATGTTTAGTTCGATGATTCGACAACAAGGTGCCATGCTCAATATCACTAATTCAAGACTAACTGCACTCGGTAATACAATGCCTGGCTTATGGTTTGGAAATGTGATAGCTACCGTTTATCTTTATAACACAATAATTAATACAGCATCGAATATTCTCGTTACAGCCAATTACTCTCAAGTAACACAAGATTTTAATTATTATGCAGGCTATCCAGATAATCCAAATCTTTTACCTGCAATTGTCACAATCAATGTTGTCGAATGTTCACTTACTGGTCAACTTATTGCTTACAATGGAAGTAGTATCAATTGGATCATGAGTCAATATTCAACATGGAATGGCAATGCTTATTCTGGCTATGGTAACTCATATATTAGTATTTCTCTTGATTCAACTTCAATATGGAATGTAACTGGTAATACAATGCTACAAAATCTTACAACAAGTAATAATAGTTTAGCAAATATCAACAGTAATGGATATAATATTTCTTATGATTCAAATTCGACTATGAATAGTTGGCTTAATCAAACAACAGTATCACTTACAGGTGGTGGTAAACTGATGCCTGCAATAGCAGGACAATCAATAATTACTACAACGCAAGTGACAACATCATCTGCAAAGCAACAAACTTCTTCACATTCAGTTTCTATCTTTAGTATTCCCAAAACTTTTATCTTGCACTTGTTTTCGATTAAAATTTTCTTATTTCTATTTTTTCATTGAATTCATCCTTACTTACTTACAATAATATTCATCTTATTTAGTGCTTTTATTTATCATTAAAATCTCTAAATAAAACATGTAAAACGATGACACTACATGAATTATAAATTTTCATAATTAATGCATTCAAATCTAACACCTAATTTTATATATTGAAAGCAGATTACTTGCAAGAAATGAATTATAGTAATAATTTAAACCATAACATCTGTCACAGACCATCAATATGAATGCGTTTGAAGAATGATCAGATATCTATGTCCGCATGTATTGTCAAGGAATATTATTCATAGAGACCAAATATTTCTAAGTGTGAATGAATATGATGTTTTTTTCTTTTACGATCAATCTAAGAAACAACTCTTTAGTGTTATTCCACAACTTGAACTATTTGTGCGAAAAAAAAACGCAACATGCATTTCTAATTGGATAAAAAAGAAATATGAATGTTCACATCTGTCATCAATTATTAATGGTATGAAAATATTTAGCTGTGAACATTCAATTGTATAACTTGTTAGTGTGGAAAAAAAGACTGTAACAAATTGATGATAATCAATTCTCCTGTCACACATAATAGGAATATATAAATACGCGTTATACTAGTCAATAAACCATTCAATTCAACAAATTTGTTTAAGTCATGTCATCTCAATGGTTCATACTATTAATATTTATTGCATTTGTACAACTAGCTGTTACTAATGTAATGTGTAAGTCATCTAATCCATGAATATGTCAATGTTTTAGGAATATTAACAATTTCATAGTAAATTATGTTGTAGTCAGAGCAGAAAGTTAGTTGAACTTTTTCTTTATGTAGTTCGATATCTATGAACCATAGAACTTCTAAAATTACTAAAAAACTTTTTTTATAATTTTTACTTTACTTTAGATTCTGATTTTGATGATGAAGATCATAAACAAAATCCTATCGAACCTGTAGATTTACCTTCACATACCAATGTAGAAGCAGGTGACATCGACACTGATTATTACTATCGTTTGACAGATAGCTATTCGGGTGAAAAATTAGCGTTAGATGTTATCAATGATGGTCAGAACTATGGTCTGAATATGGCTCCAGTCGCTGATTATACTGGCCAATATTGGTATTTTGTTCATGTACGTGACAATGTTTATAGTCTTCGAACTCGTTTTCTCGGTGATGCATACTCACTCGATATTATCAATGATGGAATTAATAATAATAAGCCACATATGGCTAAAACAGGCCATCATACAGGTCAATATTGGCATTTAACACGTTTGATTGATGGAACATATAACTTGAGTAATGAATTTACAGGTCTCAATATGGCCCTCGATATTTCTAGAAACAGTCATATTGTGCACATGAGTGCCAAAAAAACTGATTACTCTGGTCAGCAGTGGCAACTTACAAAGATTGGTAGAATTGACAGTTACTGATTCTTCTATGTTATTCATTAGATTCTTACATGTATTCTCGCTACTTTGTGTTTGTTCTTCTGTTTATGTAGTTCAGTCAAACTTTCTTAGTGTTAGAAATAAAGTAGAAATAATAAATGAATAATCATCATTATTGTTGTTTTTAAACTAGAATTCGTGAATTTTTCGACCACTAACTTGTTATACTTTGTTTTAGTTGTTTCTCTAGTGACAGTTATTGTTCTTTCAATACATGGTACACCTATCAATATGTTTCATATGATAATTCTTTGAATTCTATTAACCATTTTTGTTATACAATTAAGTGAATGTAATTAGTACAAACTAAGCTAAGCACATATGTAAAAGAATAATAATTTGTTAAAATATGAACATTTTGACTATCTTTTGTTGGAAAACAAATCAGGCACATAATCGACTTGTAGAATAGAGATATACGTATGAATAAAATAAGGAAATACGAAAAAAAAACGCTTGAATTTTTATCTCTCTTATTTTATAATAACAATGTATTATTTGATGCTAATAAAGTATTTTTCGATTGTATGGTTCATTAATATAATGACTGCAATTATTGTGAGTGGATTAAAATATAAAAAAGATGAGAGATAAAATTTGTTATGTATCAGTAATTGTTCAAACAAGTTATTTGAGTTTAATAGTGTAAGGGTGAATATTGTATTCATCTTTTAATCATATTCATGCACTTTTTTATGTTTCTTGCTGTATTGAGAATTTGAGTTGATTCAATGGAAGCAAATTTTCTATTTCTATTGATACTAATCTGTTTCTTACGTCTTATCTCTGTTGATATGTTTTCTTATAATTTAACAATACGCCTGTTTATTTCAAGCAGTCATTAATGAACAGAGAAATCTTAAAAATTTTAAAAACTTGTACAGATTACTACCGAAGAACATTTTATTATTCATATCCAACAATTTTCAAAAACAAACTATTAGTTTCTTTTCACTATGCTAATAGTAATTTTAGATTAATAAATCTTACCAAAACATAATCAATAAGTATTTCAATGGGGTGTGGGTGGGCGTGAGTGTCGATATATATTCATCTGTGTTTTTACTACAATCATGCCTACACCCATCCTTAAACAAACTAAAACATCGTAGAAATAGCTTATATATTTATTTATTCATTTACTTGAAAAACACAGCTTTCATCTGTTCTTATTTAAGAAGGATCATTTTCTAATCTTATCAACTCGATCTTTGATTATCATCTGCTTCTTAAATCATATTATTATCACTTTGTTTAGTTTCATTTATTCATATTTAGTCGCATGTTATATGTGATTCGATATTATCAACATAAATTCAGATAATTTTCTGCTGTTATCCAAAAGCAAAATGGGAAGAACAGGATGAATGGAGATTTATTTAGAATAAGAAATAAAATTTTCAAATGGATTACAAAAGGTTAGGAAATATCTGGAATGCACATATCGACTATGAGTTCTCATCATTTTAATATGCAAAAGCTAGTAACGATCAATAATAGAAATAGTTTTATCATTAATTTCGAGTTGTATAATATCAATAATTATATCAAACTGAAGTACATTGAACTGATCCATATAAATGATAGTTGAATCCCTTATCTGATTTGCACATGAAGATTGAATATTGAGTGGAATTTCTTGATAAAAACACAATTGAAAGATGACTATATTTTCCTTCGCCGTAGATACAAGAATTTGCTTCATTACCAAACTGAGCTTTGAACGAAACGGAGGTTGTGAGGAAGAACTGTTGTTGTGTGCACTATATACTCAAGATTGTTTACCAGATCTAACAAGACTAATAATGGACCATGGATAGATTTTATAATGGATCCTAACAAATACAAGGATTGAGACGATATGTTCAAGAAAATTCAATGTCTAAGTAACAAGTAATATGTATAGCATTGAATACTAACTAAACTTCGATGCTTACCGACGATACTTTCAAAGTTAAATGTAATGTAGTTTTGTAAAGGGCCAAATAATAATACACGTTGGGCAAGATGTACAAGAGAATGTACGATAGAAACACAGTTTGATTCCTAATAATATAAAAATAAGGATTAAAACGAAAAACTGACCAAATAATGTTTAACACACTCTGTCTAACACTGGAAGTCATTTCAAAAATGTTTCTTAAACAATTTTGACTTGGTTTGATCGCTTAATTGTTATCATCTGCACTTCTACAAATATTGCGATATAGGCCAATAATCGAAAATGTTCATAATGTATTATTTTCATTATTGCTTCTAATACTTTATCAAAAGAGATCTAGATCGGTCAGATATGTAAAAAATACCCACTCTATACTTGTAACTGAACAATAGTATTATGCGTAATTCATTGGCTTTGTATATTTGGTAAAAGCGTAAAGATCGTGGTAAATGATGTATAGCAGGATACTGAATGGTTTGAAATAAGTTTCTAATTTCATGAAATCTTTAAAACAGTGGCGGCGCGAGCGGGGGGTGGGTGTGGATATTATATTCATCTCACGCTCTAAACCTACATTTAGTTAATCACACCAAAACAGAAAAACATCACTTTATATTTGAAGGAACATTTGTATTAGCTCAAGATAACAATAAAAAGAAAAGAGAAATAAAAGAAACGTTATGCACAAAAAAAATTAGATAATATAACGATCAATGATATATCTTTCAATACTTATTAAATATTTTAATTGTAAATGTTTAATTATAATAATAAATCTTTTTAACCATCATACCTGATGATAATGCGCAAATGGCATTGAAAGCTCATAAATATCGAACAAGAAAAAGTTGACATCAGTACAAGTATTATTATAATATATAGTGTATCTTCCTACTTCGTTATATTAATCAATGGTTTATTTTATCAGTTACAATTTCCGTATTTAAAATACTCATTGCGGACTTCAAGATTACTATGAATATGATTACTGTCATCTGTACAACTAATTATCACCATATAAATTAATTTATCTGAACTAATGAGAAAAGAATCCAAAAAAAAGTCTTGTAATGTTTCTTGACGATGGTGAACTCATGTGCTGTCTATGTCAGAAACAACGGCGTCTTAAACGATGTAAAAACGATGAAAAATAGTGTAGGATGGCATCGTTTTACCACCATCTTAGAACATATAAGATGTCGTTTTCGATAGTTGGAATGATCGTTCAGAGTATGCGTGATGCCTTTTATTTATTCTATGGCAAAAAAATTTAACAAGATATTGTTGTGTAGCATCAATAATGTGAACGATGAAAAAAACAATTTTGAAGCATGATGCTGTTTATTGATGTCAAGAATTAATTAATAATATTACTATAACAAAAGCAACAACAAATGGATTATATATAGGAGGAGAAGAAAAAGCTAATGCAAGTAAGATAAATTGAAGCGACTTTTTTCTTTATATAATTAGTTTTTAGGGTGTGGGTGTACATGTCGGTGTAAGTGGAAGTAAACAAATGATCTTCACACATCCATATTCACACTCATAAATAACGATCGTTTTAAAAAGCTGCGAAAAAAATTATTGTCAAAAATTTCAGACATTTTTTCTATAATATGAATGTTATAAATCTGTAACTTTAATTACAAAAATGATAGAGCCATATGCAAATTCAAAGAACAGTTCAGCGTATTTCTTGATTGACGTATTCAATTGTGTATTAATGCCAGTAATGATCTTTAACTCGACGAATAAGATTTATAAGTTCTTTTCGATACATCTTAGCAGTTAATGTAAAGACATAAAAACTGATCTAAAAAAAGAAAGATATAAAAAAAAAATTTGATTCCATGTTTTAAATCGTATATTAGTTTTACAAGTTTTTTTTTGTTCTATAAAATCTCTATGTCTCTATTGTATAAAGATTTGCTGATAGAAAATAAAGGTTTTAGAGTAGTGTGCATCTTTCGATTTCAAAAAATCTACTTTTGTACTTTCATACACAAACTCGCTTTTTATTTCTGTTGATCAGAAAAAACTGAAGTAAGTCTATAGATAAATTTTAACAACTAACCGATTGACTAAGATTGAGTGTAACAAAAGTAATTTGTTGAGCAAATAGAAATATTATATTCACAGCAAGTGTTGGTTTTATAGCTGCTATCATAAGAGTAATATGAAATGGTAAAGCAAGTGCAGCATAACATACAACATGTACGAATAATATAATTAATAGTTGAGCATCACCTCGAGCACGTCGTCGTTCTACTATTGCATTTGTATTAACCAATGGTTGAATTCTTCGACGTCGACTTCGAATATTATAGCTTGTACCCAAACCAAATATAATAATTAGAATAATAGCAAAAAAATAATATCCAGTTGTAAAAAACGGAAAAAAATTTGCATAAAAACCTGGTTCTGGTTGACATATCGACCAAATAATTGTATATCGAATGGGCATATGAATATAAGCTATTGATGTCATAAGAATTATAATGGGTATAACTATATAAGCTGTTTGAGGACGGGAACTCAAACGACGTAGATTTGCATCGGGACAACTTGACAAGAATCGATCTATTGTAATACATGCTGTAAAATATGGAGCTAAATTATAAATAACATAGATGAAATAAGATAGAAAACGACAATAACTAAGCGATGTACCAATAGGATTTAAAACAGGAAATATTTGTGAAAACCAGTCATTTAATGTACCAAAAATAAGTATAATAAGACCATTAAAAGATCCAGCCAAAAAATAAATCGAACATGAACGATGAAGAGCTGGACGAGTAAATATAAATATATTAAGTATATTACCAATAATACCAAATATAATCATAATTGGAATAAAATATAAATTTATATTATAAGCTATTTTCAATAATTCCATTTTTATTAATTTCGACAAATAAATATCTAGAATAATTTAGAAAAACTTAAATAATAATGGAAATATCATAAATTATGATTTCTATTTTGTGTAAGATCTATTTTTAATATAAAAAGAAACTAAATGAATAATCTTCTTTATTTCAAAGAGAAATACACTTAGAAAAATTAATCATAGAATTGAAAATTAATATTAACAAGTAATCATCTTATGATTTTTACTTAATAACTACTTTTAAAAAATGTTCTACTTTGAAAGATGTTTGATATTAGAAAGTAAAAACATCAATTATTTTTAATTGAACAAATGTAAGATAAAATATAAATATTTTACTGAAAAAATCATAAAAAATGTTTTAGTAAATTCACGAGAAGAATTTGTATTCTTTTCTAATTATCATCGAACGAAATTGATCTAGAGGATGTCTAGAATCAGAAAATAGAAAATTTTCTCTTTCAAATAAAAAACAAAATTGTCCAATTTGGTCGAGAAATGTTGGAGAATATTTAATTTTCTTTTTCGTCAATGAATTTTCAGACACCTTACACATTGGATTTAGTGTGTATAAATATACATTGTTAGAAAAAGTGATTATATCGAAGATTTAAACTAGCAACAACATAACATATAGATTATTAACAATAAAAAAAGACTTCTAAATAAAATGAATAGAAGTTATAAATAAATCTAAGAAGATAGAAATGTTTACATAGTTTTCCGGATGACGTAGCAAAAATAAATTAATCAATCAAGTGTCATCTTTACAACAATAATACAATGAACTGCCGTAATTAGCTGACAGCAAAATTTACAATTATTTATATTAAACTATCAAGGCTATTGCACGTCAACTACAATATGTAATATTTATTTAATTGTAGAACCAAAAAAGGTTGTGTACAAATCTTTGCCATTTTTTAACTTTTTAGTCTTAACACATATAGTGATTACACGAAAATAGAAGTATAATCAAAGACTTTCATTTGTATATTCATATATTTCTTTGATTAACATTCATTATTTTGATGTATTCTTTGTAATATTTCGCTGAGATTTTGTACAATGGTATTATCTTACCAAACTATCGATTTATTTTCTTATTTGTGATAGAAAGAAAACGACAATATAAAATAATATCTTTGTTATTTAAATTTTTCATGTGATACAAAGTCAAATGTACTTTATACTCTCTAATCTTCAAAATAATAAATTTCAAAACTTATTTCGTTTCTCTTGTTGTTTTTCGATGGTATCAAATGTATACTTGCAAATACCTTTATAATAACAAAAAAAATAGAAATAGATATAGAAAAGATTAATATATCATTTTATTTTCATCATTCTCATTTTTCTGTAAGCTTCATTTTATAATTTGTTCGAACCAATTTTTGAGTTCATTTCATTAAGCGAATCATGTCGTTGTTCACACTGGTGATCATTGGAATTATA